GAGGCGGCCAGGCCCACCGGGCGCCTTCCTCCTCGGCCTAGAAAAACCCAGCCAGCGCGGCTGCTCCGGCGGCTCACTCTACCTGCGCGAGTGCTCCGTGTCCAAGGCCGCAGAGCTGGGCTGGGCAGGGCCACGGCGGAAGGAGCAGGGTTCTTAACCTCTCGGCCTGGGCTCCGTCTGTTTCTCGAAGGCTCTGCCTGCGAACTGGGAGTCCCCAGGCTGGGCCTCACCCTGTCTGGCCGAGGCCCTGACTCAGCTGAGCCCTGGTGATGCACTTCAGAGGACGCAGGCCGGCCCGCATTCCAGCCCTGGTGACTACTCCTGTGGCAGCATCTGTAGCATCAAAGGAGTGCGGGTGCCCAGCCCCAGCTCAGCCAGCTCTCCTGCCTCCACTGTACGGGGTCCCACTTGGGGGACCTTCACACGCCATGCCTGGGGAGGTGATCATCACCCCAGTCTCCAACTCAGCCCCATTCTATTTTTTTTAACTTATATTTTTATTGATTTCAGAGGAAGGGAGAGGGAGAGAGAAACATCAATGATGAGAACCATTGATCAGCTGCCTCCTGCACGCCCCCTACTGGGGATCAAGCTCTCACTGGGGATCAAGCTGGCGACCTCCCGGTTCATAGGCCGACGCTCAACCCCTGAGCCACACGCGGGGCTCAGCCCCATCCTAGAAGCAGCCAGGCGGGCAGCAGATGGTCAGTCCTCAGAGACCAGCCAGACGGGTTGGCCGGGGCTTCCCTGGGCTGTGACTTGCCCTGGAGCACCCCTCCCCCCACCCGCCCCCCGGCTTCTGGTTCGGGATGGGGGAGAATTTCAAAGACGCCTCTTTCTGGTCGGGAGGGTGGGACATCCCTCCATCACGGCACTGCTGCCCTCCCGACGCCCACTCCCCTGGGCAGCCCCCTCCCGGGAGCTGTACAGGAGGAGGGAGTCAGTGTCCAGGCGGCTCTCAGGCCACACACAGGGCACAGGGCACAGGGCACAGGGACCCCGACCCGCCAGAGCGCGCGTCCTGAGAACACCGATCAGC